GTGTGGGAGAAGCGAAAGGCGACGTCGCCTTTTATAAAAATATATATATATATAAAATCTTTTATATATATATATATATATATATATATATATATATATATATATATATATATATATCGAACGGTATACTGCTCGGTATACAATACCGTACCGTACCGAGCGAATGTCGAAACTCTAGTACTGTATGATATTTCAATCCTTGCTATTTAAAGCTAACTCCAATTTCATGATTAGTCTAGTAAAACAAAGCATGCCTCTAACCTTTTAATATTTAAAGCTAACTCTAATTTTACTCAACTTCTAGTGTAAAGCTAAATTTTAGGAGAAAAATCAAGGTTGGTCAGTGACTGAAGGCATCAAACTACTAATACCTATTCCAATCATTAAAATATTCATTGATGTACATTATAATTTTGGCCTTCTTGTAACTCTATAGTAAGGTAATCAAGTAATCTTGGCATGAAGGATTATTGCTTTTCTTTTTTTATTTTCTTTTGACAAGGATATTTTCAATAACAACTGAATGCATATATTTGTTTTCAGCTGCTGGTTAATAGAACCCTTTATGAGAAAACTTTAGCAAGTGGATTTGGTTCGGTTCACTTTCTTGTTGATGCTTCTGAACAACAGCAAGTAAGAAGCTCTTGTTTAGAATATTCTTTTCGTTTCTTATCTTTATATCTTAGTATTTCATGCAGTTCAAGGAAGCAGTTCTGGTTTATGCAATTCTACTCCATCCTGAAACATATCAGGTACATTAGCTCTGTGTTCATTCCAAGTGGGAATACAAGAATGATATGTAGCTATTACATGAAGGATGTAGTTGTATTTCTCTAGTTTTAGTGTTCATATATTTTGGTCAATTCAGTCACTTTAGCCATGTTATGCTCATTGATTTCCACTTTTGTATTTATCGTTGTTTTGAAGAAACATCAATGAAGTAAAATGGGTTGCCAATCTAACAACTGACACTAACTATAATTGTTATTTTGGGGATTTCTTTTCTAGTGGTTTAGACAATTTTCTTCATCACATCTGTGGGTTCTTTTTATTTTTAAATTTGCTACAAGGAATACATTATCTGTCACTATCATTTAAAGAAAGGATATAATTAATCTGTGGTTTCATTAGTGTTCCCTATGGTTTAAGAATCTTATGTTTTTCTGAGAACCAAGTGAAAACTAAAAGGGATCATGAAACACGGTTAGGATAGAGATTTTTTGTTTTGTTAAAGGTAAGTGATGAAGACCGGCTTTGTACACATCTTATAAAATTTGTTGTTCAATATGCAGATATCATGCCGCAAAAATATTAAAGATTCATGTGAGAAGTTCATGTATGACAGATTTAAGGAAAAGGTATGAAAGAAATCCTTCTTCAAAATATTATGAGGTGTGCATAAATTAATAACAATATTGAGTGTTCATTTTCTGCAGATCGAAATGCCTGTTGACAAGGCGGTGGATACACTGATGAGGCTGGGCCTCATGTCTGAGATTTCTGTGCAAGGAAATATTGCACTGAAAGTTCTTCCTTTTTCAGAAGCCTTTGAGACCCTGAGGAAACGCTGGACTGAATTGCTAGAATCGAAGTCATGATCATTCCTCTCACTTGTATCCTAATTTATCTTATCGAGTATAATAGAATTACAGTTATTATTCCAACTACATTATTTCTTTGCATCATCCTCATGAAGACACGCACACTTCGTTCCTTAAGACAGTGAAGCTTAAAGACAATGTGTTATACTAACAGCAGAGATCTTCCATAGCTCTCGTCGGCTATGGCCAAGATTGCTACATTGCATATTGCTATATTTAATGAACTATAGAAGTTTTGAAGGACTAATTTACTCATGAAGGTTTTCAGAAAGGGAGAAAAGACTCAATTAAAATCATCACAATCCCCGAGAGGGAACGTTGATGAAAGTTTCTTTTCCTATGTATTCTTTTGGTATGTCAATGGAAGTTGGTGAATTCTACTGGTTCTGGAGATGGAAAAGCTTCGAATAAACACCATCAGCTTCTCCAATCAATGTGGAATGGCTGCCCATCTCAACCACCTTACCCTTCTCCATCACCACAATGATATCTGAACTGATCACCGTAGAAAGCCTATGAGCAACTGTCACTCTGGTGATTCCGCATGAAGTGTCTTCTCGTCTCCACCACTTGCTCGATCCCAAAGCTCGCATGATGGTTCTCTCAGTTTCAGCATCCAGTGCGCTGGTGGCTTCATCTAGCAGCAGAATCACCGGCCTTTTCAGCAGAGTTCTCGCTATGGCGATCCGCTGCTTCTGTCCACCCGATACTTGGCAGCCTTTCTCCCCCACCATGGTGTCATATCCGTCAGGCAAGCTGCTTATGAACTCATGGATGTTTGCTTCTGTTGCAGCCTCTACGGTCTCGGCCTCTGACGCACCTTCGTTCCCGTAGCAGATGTTCTCTCTTATGGTGGAGCTGAAGAGAAGTGGTTCTTGCTGCACAAAACCTATCTGCTGCCTCAACCAACGCAGGTTGTATTCTCTTATGTCCTTCCTATCGATCAGAATTCTTCCTTGGGCAGGATCGTAGAACCTCATGAGGAGTGCCAAAACAGAGGACTTCCCTGCTCCGCTAGGCCCAACAAGCGCCACAGATGATCCAGCTTCAACCGTTAAGACGAAGCTATCGAGTACGACCACTTGGGGACGCGATGGGTAGGAAAACCTGATGCACTCGAATTCGATTCCGCCTAATATTCTCTCAGAGTTCACTTCATCTGGAACATCTGGTAGGATTCGAGTTTCCCGATCAAGGATGTCGAATGCAGGCTTCAGTATGCCGATGGCGGAAACGACTGTCGGTATCAGAGTCCACAGCTCAGTGATGGAAGGAACTGTGAGCGAGAAGATCTGGTACGACCTTATACCATCCTCGAAGCTGGATTGATTCTTATCGACCAGAATTGTGGTGTACCACAAGGCAACAGCGTGTGCAACATTCCAAAGAAACAGCGACGTGCCTTGAATCATCCCGTACTTGATGCTCTGCAACCTCCCAATCCTCATTGGCTCCTCCAACGAAAGTTTGGCCTTCGTAATCATTTGCTCTTCGTGGACGAAGGCGGCCACGGTTCTGATGTTGCTCGCGGATTCCGATGCAAGAACAGCGAGTTGTTGGTGAGCCAAAGCAGAGTCACCGGAGAAACCTTTGGCTGATTTGGATTGTATCAGGCCGCCGATGAAGTGACAGGGCATGAGAGCCCAGGCGACCAGCCCCATTCTCCAGTTCACGATCATGCTTACGGTTGTCGCTATAAGAATCGAAGAGATGCATTGCACGATGACAGACATTCGATCTGATATGATGGTTTTGATCACGCAAGTGTCACTAACAATGCGTGTTGCAAGCAGTCCCACACCGTTCTCAGGCTTCTCAAACCAAGCTACTTCGTTACGAAGAACAGCTGCAGGAAAGAGCAACAAAAATAAGCAGATACAAAACATGGCAATTCAGAGACAGATGCTTATTACCTGAGAAAAGGGCTTCTCTGAGGTTTCCCATGGCTTTCTCCCCAACCACACCATAGTGATAGTGTTGCAATGTATGAGCAACCAATGCAAGAACACCGACGACGCAGAAAATTATCGAGTACTTCCCTACCGTCTCCCTTGCGTTCTGCTTGTAATATGCTACTCCAATTGTCATGATAAAGAACCCGAACAATGGCTTCGAAACACCAGCGACAGCTGCTGCAAGAGAGCCCAAAGCAGTCTTTGCAAGCTCAAACTTGTTCAGCCTAAACCATATTCTAGAGAAATTAGCAGTTCTGCTCTTTGAGGTTTGCATTCGTCCTATGGGAGGATCACTTGGCTGGTTCTTTGGTTCCTTGAGTTCTTCAGAAGCTGGTGTGTGTTGAATGATCTCTGGTGTGGTATTCCTGTTCTCGAGAAGTGGATCAAGACTTCAGGTGCTATATCTACGATTGGTTTCATCAGCTAAACAAGTGATCACCTACCTTGATTGGGTCTCTCCCATCTCTGGATTCATGTTATGCATGTGAAACAGGTTATTATAGAAGGTGCTGCTTACTAGCAAGTCACTGTGACTTCCACTTTGTGCCACTCTTCCTTCTTCAACGACAACAATGGTGTCTGCATTGCTCACAGTCGATGCTCTGTGGGCAACGATGATGACGGTTCTTCCTTGCATCACTTTCTCCAAGGCTTCTTGAACCAGCTTTTCTGACTCTGAATCAAGCGCACTCGTTGGCTCGTCAAGAAGAAGAATGGGAGAATCTTTCAGAATTGCTCGTGCAATAGCTATTCTTTGCTTCTGGCCACCTGAGAGTTGCACTTGCCTCTCTCCTACCTGAATCGATTCTGTCAGCTCTCGCTACTTCACAGCAACATGATGAGAGAACACAAGTAATTAGCGATGGCTTGAACTCTTACCCAGGTTGAGTATTTGTCAGGAAGCAGAGATATGAATGAGTCTGCATTGGCTGCTGATGCTGCTTTCAGTATCTCTTCATCGGTTGCTTCCGAGTTCCCAACCTTCAAGTTATCCTTAATTGTTCCTGAAAACAGCGATGGTTCCTGTGGCACAGCTGCTACGTTTCTCCTGAGGAACTCAAGATCCAGGTCCTTGATGTTGTGGCCATCAATGGAAATCTCACCTGCAGCATTTAGTGCCAATGGTTAGCACGATACATTCAATAGCGTCAACACCAAGTTTTCGAATGTAGAAGCAGACCTGAAATTGGATCGTAGAACCTTTGGACAAGGGAGAGGAGAGTGCTCTTCCCACAGCCACTGCTACCTACCAACGCAAACACTTTGCCTGCTGGTATGGACAATGAGAAGCCTTGCAGAACAAGCTTATCCTGACGAGATGGGTAAGCAAATGACACCCCATTAATCTCGATTCCTCCAACAATCTTCTCTAGCTTTTCTCCTTTTGTCTCGTAACTTATCCTTGGCTTTCTTTCGATCACCTTGAAGACCTCGCTTCCTGCAGCTTTTGCCTGGTTAAAGATCTGCAAGTCTGGTGCGGCATAGGTGATCGATCTGTGATTTCATCAAGAAAAACACAGAGACTGGTAAAGAGAATTTGAGGATGAAGTCAAAGTAACATCAAAAATTGAATCATCATTGTGGTGTTTTAGCCCAAATACATGGCTCCAAAGAGGATGCTCATTATAGCTGCCAAGGTCTCGCCTCCGTTTGCTCTTCCTGCGGTCACGACGACGGCGCCTACCCACACAACCAGAGCCCAAGAACAGAACGTGACGGTCTGAAACAAGCCCAACCCCAACCCCTTAATTGCAGCTTCTTTTTTGCTCATGGCGTACTGCTGCTTCACGTTCCGAGTGAAGGACTTCAACGAGGAGCTCTCTCCAACGAAAGAGAACACGGTCTTGATGTGGGATAAGGTCTGCAGATGCAGAGTTCAACGAGAACTCAGTGTTTGTCGAAAAGACCGCTTTGCAAACACTGATATGCACCTGTTCTACGACTGATGTTGCCTCAGACAAGTACGACATCCTCAACGCCGATAGACCCTCCATCTTTCTCGTGTATGTAGCTCCGATGGCCAGAATCATGGGCAGCACCATCAAAGAGAGCAAAGCTACTTCCCAACAGCTAACGATGGCGATCACAACACCAGCAAAGTAAGTGGCGAAGCAGGAGATGAAGTGACCCAACTGCAACAGTAATACGCCATGATATCCTCTTATCGTGCAAACAAAGGTTCATTTGGCTTCTGGGAAAGCTCGTGCATACCTTCTCTCCAATGGCGTCCTGTATGGTGCTCATGTGGTGTGTTGCTCCTGCCATGACCTTAGCGGTGGTTAACTCTGTGTCAAAGGCTTCAATATCCTGGTGAAGAACTGCTCTGAGAAACGCCAACCTCAACCGTGCTACTTGTCGCTCGCTGGTATACATCCAACATGAGATCTCTGCAACCATGCAGATTAGGGCAATGACAAGGTGAGTATGCATTCTAGGATGTTCTTCACGTACCGAGCATTCCTGCAGGAAACGTAGCAGCCGCCATGTACCACACATACGGAATCACCTACATGCAAACCATGCCAAAGCTAAACGTATGCACACAAATGTCAAGAACTCTACACCGTCGAACATGTCTTGTGCACCTTCTTCAGCGCTTCAACCATGGCGGTTTGGTCACCTACGTTGCTCCCAAATGCTTCGAGTGCTTTGCCGAGCAGGAGATAGCCAATGGGCTGAGCCATGCCATGAACGACAGCGCCCACGGATCCCAACCCCATCAGCGCCCAGTCTACTGCGTCGGCGTAGCTGAGAAGCCTGTGGAACGGCAACGGCCGCGACGACAACGACGATGAATGGGTCTCCTCCTCGTCTCGGCCTTCGACCTCCGTCTCAGCCATGGTGAGCTCGCAGTTGGGAGTAGAGATGTGTGAGTATAAAGAAGCCGAGGGAAGGGAATGTGCTGCGGGATATGCGACTTCGCGTCTCTCGTAATTAAAGATACGTTGCAATTAAAACCTCACTCTAATGAATCATCTGCACGACAGTTTGTATAGCGTCTTCATATGTTCTCCACATGTCGTAGTGTGAGAGCTACCAATTTAGAGGTCATAACTTCTGTATGTCTTATGTGTTATGTCACCAAACGCCAAATGAAAGGTTGCTCTTTTTCCTACCCACCATAGCTTAATCATTGATTGACTGACCTTTTGAGGGCTATATTTAATGCAATGTAGAGCAATATATAGCTTCTCTCACATAATAAATCTTTAAGATGTTTTCTCATTATTTCTAGACTCATAACAGAGAAAAATAAAAACACTCAGATTATTTTCATACATAAATTTCTCCACAACATAGAGATATATGAAATATTTTTAGAATAAATAATTCTAATTTAGATTTACTTTCTTATCCAACGATAAGAATTAAAAATATTTGTTAACTCAACAATTAATTTTACATAATTAATATCAATCAAATAACATGTATAACAAGTAATCAACTTATTATTATCAAAATACAGTCTATTTCTGAAAATTATGGCTCTCTCAATAAATGCTGGCCTTCCTTTAATATTACACAGCTGACTTATGTATTAGTAAGGGTTAGTACCTATAATAGGTGAGACTAAATAAATAATAATTGAAGATATAGACAAAGATGACAAAAATTCTATTTTTTCCATTTTTTAAGTTCATGACCTACTTTCTCTTGTATCAACTTTATGACACGAGAAACATATATATATATATATATATATATATATATATATATATATATATATATATATATATATATATGTTTACAACTAAATCAAAGGATAAAAATTGTAAATGAGTCAGATATATGAGGCTCATATTTTAGATATAAAATTAATATAATGAAAATTTAAAATTCTTAATTTAAGATAAATAAATTAAATAAAATTTTATTAAACGAGTATTTGTATGTAAAATATATAAAATGAGATTTCGAATTCTCGAAATACGGCCACGTGAGTCACATCTGCCAAATTGCGATGGCAATGGTGAGGTAAATGGAGTGCGCCACACGTGCCACAACTGCGGATGCCGACTTAGCGGACAGAGAATGGCCACTTACCCGAGTGGGGCCCGCTGTCGAGTTGGGGCTCACGGGTCTCGCTCGTCAGGTTGCGTGAGAGGAGCACGTAGGATTAGCAGGTCCCTGGGATGGAGCGCACGTGCGGACATGAATTCTATTGGGGTTGGACTCGGGAGACCAAAGGAGGACTCGGGGGGCTATAAAAGGTTCCGCCCGGTACGTGGCGTATCGCTTTCTCGTACGCTCCGCCACCAACCCTTCCTCTCTTTGCTCTCTTTCCCAGTCTGCTCTCCTTCGCTGGTCGCGATGTACGGAAGCATGGACGACGACCCTTTCATGCGGGGGCGACACTTCGTCTCCGAGATCGACGGCATCGGTGCGGCGACGACGGCGGCAGAGGCCGAGGTGGCGCCCTCGATCGAGGGTAGCACGCCCTTGCAACCGCAGCCGCCGGGGCCGAATCAGCTCACCCTCTCTTTCCAGGGACAAGTTTACATCTTCGACTCCGTACAGCCTGAAAGGGTAAGGAAGAAGAAAAAGCAAGATTATTTCTCTCCTCCTCCTTTCTCCTTGATACGTCACACAATTCGGCACTTCTTTTTCTGTTTCTTTCATGTTTCCTAGGTTTACGAGGGTTTAGGAATCCTGTTGCGGGGTTTAGGGTTTTTGTGACTTCCATATCTTTGATTGGTGGATTGCCTGATTTGGCGTCCTTTTCCTTTCAATCGGCTGGTGCATTGGTTAGAAATCGTAGCAATCGATTACATACAAAATAATAAAAAGCATATTGCGGTGCTTCTGATGTTTCCGTACGAGAATAGACGAAACAACCTGAGAACCTAATTTTACATGATAAAGATACCCATCAGCACCTGTGAATTCAGTATATTGCGCAAGGGATCGGACGATTATGTAGGTCCTTCGTAAGGTGTGTGGAGTGAGATCTCTTGGCCGACGTGATGAATCAGAATTGCACGCAAGGGCATAGAGAATAACAAAATGAGAAGAAAAAAATGATAAGTTGATTAGATTTATGGTGGCTTTCAGCCTTTACTGTAAAACTTATTCTGTTGTTATTTGTTATTATGCATGGTGAATCTAGAATAATTGTTGCATAATGCAGTTTACCTAAGAATATAAAGGTAATTAATAACATCCTCTGAATGTCTAAATCGTGTATCGGTATGACCAAGGATGCATTGCCTTGAGCCACTTGAATCTATAAACGTTTAAACACAAAATTCCTGCTCAGTGCAAAATCGTAGGCCAACTGAAAGCCATAGTTAAAATCTAATACAAATTGTTAATCTCATAATTTTATCATGTATTCAATGGAGAAATAGCACAAAAGTATTTGATTCACTTTTAAGTGTTTATCACTATTGTCACATACACAAGAGGGATACATGACGTTTCCTAGGAACTTAAGTGCACCCTCCTAATTATTAGTATGAAACGTTATGATGCATAGGTATCTTTTGGACTTCAATTGATTACCTTTTCTGAATATTGTAATTTTTTGTAATTCAGTTAGAATTTTTCTGAAATTTAACCATCTTGTGTTTCATACTTGAAATCAAAGAACTAGGATGCCTCAGGTGACCTCAAAGCCCTATAAGGATCACATTGATTTGAGCAGAGGACATCCTTGCAATTTTTATAAAAAAATGTCTTCATCTTTTGTTGCTCTCCCTTTCTTTCTAGTGAACAGTCTAGTACATAAGGCTCTTGCTGATGCAAGATTTTAGGATGATCGTATACAACCTTACCTCTACAAGCATAGATGTTTTCATGACTTGAGCCTTGGTCACCTAAGTCAAAAGGGGGCATCCTAGTTTGTTTTTCCTGTCTTTATGATAATGCTTTTATTTGATTAAATTTCCCTAAATCTTCGAGTAGAATGTAGATTCCAGTGCTTATTAACCTCCAAATGTTATCCAACTTCTGAATTTGTTTGCATTATGATAATCCTAGAAAAGAACAATGCTATATGAAGCCATAGCAACTTGCTTTCTCAAGTTCATTAACTGTTTGTCCTTGCATTCAATAATTTCTCCTTATAGTTAATTTGTTATTTTATATCTTTTACTTTGATATACTCATTGCGATCCTCCTTGTCTTATTCATTCAAGCATGTAATCTGATGTTTTTTATCATTTATCCAAAAAAATTCTCCGGAAACATAAGTCAGTGGGGGGCTTTCAGATCAAATTGAAATGGTAACAGCCTTATTTACATGTAACCTTTACTCTGATTTTTTGAAGGATGATGCTATTTAGGCTGAATTTTTTTCCTTTAAACATCTTGTTTCTTTGAGGGCTGATCAAAAGAGCTCAATGTTTTTGAATAGCTCGAACTTGAGCTCGTGCTTTGCTCGAGATTATTCCCTAAATCTCTATCTGTTTATTTTTTTGTTCTTCCCTTGTTTATATCTAATCAGACTCGACGTTAGCAAGCTGTATTATCACAAAAGCTCCTGTAAAACCCCTATGTTATAGGACTCTATAATGTTCAAGAGCCTATCGACACTACACTCATGTTCAGACTTTCTGACACTAAATTGATACAAATCATGACTTTAGGGGGCTTCCCAAGTTTCTAAAACTCTGGAGGAAAGTACACTAAAAAGAGGATCTGAACTCTTCAGGACTTGATTTGGTGTTGATTTCGATCTTGACTCGAGGATAGTGTCTCTTGGGCTGAGGATGGATATTTTGATCATCCATATCAAAGATGTAAACCTAATCATTGTCACAAATCCATTTCTTTGCCAAAGAGCTCCCTCCTGGATATTCAAGATGGTCCAACCATAATGGTTTGAGGCAAGAATGCTGCAGTACAGTTCTGGAGTGGTGTGACTTACGTTATTCCGGATTTACATCATAACGACTTCTCTTGAAATCCTTCTTGTCCCTTAGTGTGGTGGATCCTTAAGGGGTGATTACAGCTTGAAAATTTTCTGCATTCTTCTTCACATGTCAGTGATGAAGGAAGATGTTATGTCTTACAGATTGTAAAAACAATGAAAAATTAGTATTAATTAAGAGCTACACATAGTTGTTGATTAAGTTTTTAGTTTCATATGTTACACAATACAAATAGAGATACCTTAGTTCCAGTGTCAGAAGTCTGAGAAACACTGTATCTTTTCTTGCCAGTTGAGTACTATCACAAAAGAAGTGTGCGTGTGTGTATATATATACACTTTGCTATATTGGCACCCATTTCTGAAGGATTCTTTCTTTGATTGTTTTATCTATGTACTCCTAAGTTATTTATTTTAGCTCTGAACTTTAAGAAAATCCAGCATATTGTCACCACCCAAGTACTAGAAAGCCTCATGCCATTCTATATTTTTCGGTGAAGTACTTTGAGATGAGTATGACAATTCAATCCCATGTACTATAACTGACCTCCTCTGCTCTTAAAGTTGGAGAAATTTTATTTTGATTATTATCAAATAAGCCTATTATGCTTAAAATCATAACTTAAAAATGGCTTGCTGACTCACATAAACAACTTGATAAAAAAAAATCCAAAAGTTCTGCAATTAAAGGAATTATCTACTCAAGAAAGACCCGTAACCTTACTGAAAATTATTAAGAATTGATCAATGTGAGACAAAGCTTCAGCTCTTGCCTTGGTTCTTCTTACATGTTTATATCATATGCCATATAGTATCAGAACTAGTTAAGTTCTCAGTGATCCAGTGTGTTGCACATAGTCATGTTTATATCTATTTTAACCTCCATTTCCAGTACCACTAATGTACAACACATTTACCAAACTATACTAGTTTCGAGATTTTTTTTTATATCTGTATTTCAGTTCCTCATTTGCCTTTCATATTTATATCAACTTTTGATTGTATCAATAGACTTATGAGGAACATGATACTTTTCTGTTTCGATGTAAACAAGTAATTATCATGTTGGTTTACCTTCGTTAGCATTTAATTTGTTCTTAATTAATGTTACCTAGAAAATAAGTTTTCTTTAGAACAGATACCTTTTGGAGATCATTGCCATATTTTTTTAATTTTTCAAATTTCAAGTTTGCTTCTTGTTGATAAATATTTATTTTGTTGATAGATTCTTAAACTGTCTTACTCAGGTTCATGCAGTTCTGTTGCTTTTGAATGGGCAACAATCACCTGAATTTGGTGGCATGGCAGTACCCTCTCATCAAAATTATAGGGTATTTCATGCAGCAACTTCATCACCCATCAAATTACCTTTCAACTAATTCTTTCATTACAGTTTTATGTGTGCATTACCAGAGTGTAGATGAAGCATCAGGATCCAAAAATGGTCAACGGCTTGCTTCTATTTTGCGGTTTAAGGAGAAGAAGAAGAACCTATGCTTCAAGAAGAAAGTACTATATACTGTTCGAAAGGAAGTTGCTTCTAGGTATAAGTTTTTCATTGTCATTATAAGATTTATGTTAACCCTGGATAATTTAAACTTAGATGTTCCTTTAACTAATATCATCACTATAATTGAGATGCCAAAATTACTATTATTATTATTGTTGTTGTTATTATTATTTTGTTGAGGGAGAGATGCCACTTACTCTATCTTATCATTAACTCTCAACTGGGAACCATACTAATATGCTCTCCTTTGTGCATATCGTTACATGCATATAGTATCTCTGCATAATTAGAGAACGTCGCCAATGTTGGTTCTAAGGTCGGATGAGAAAAGTGGAGGATTGCATTAGGTCAGTGACAATCAGCATAAAACTATGTCAGATCTTATGAACATGGGTCTTACCGATTTCAGTATTGAGCTAGGTTGTCACCCGGAAGTGATGTGAGGCACTTTCACCACCTAGGTGTCTCAAACTACAAACAGTGGGATAGGAGGTCGTCCGGAAGCGGCCCATCACATCGGTGCTCAGATATGGTGCCAAGTAGGTAAGGGTCTTTTATTATTTCCAATTGGAGTAAAGAAGTTAGTCCAAGAATAGAGGGTTAGGTTAGCAACTTAGAATATAGGAACACTTTTAGAGAAAATATTAAAATTAGTAAACACTATGATTAGAAGAAGAATAAATATGATTTGCTTACAAGAGACTAAGTGGATAAGGGAAAAATCTAGAGAGATTCATAGTACCAGATTTAAAATTTGATATATGGGAAAAATTAAATACAGAAATGGTATAGGAATTTTATTGATAAGGATCTTAAGAACAATGTTGTAAATGTAAAAAGACTTGGAGATAGAATTATAGTACTAAATTTATGAAAGAATAAGATGTTTTGAATGTCATTAGTGCTAATGCCCCTTAAGTTAGATTAAATGATCAAACCAAAAGAGAATTTAAAAAAAATTTAGATGATATGATTCAAGAAATACTTATAATAAAAAAAAATTATAATTGGAGGAGATTTGAATGATCACATAGGCAAAACATATGATGAATATAAAAGGGTGCATGGGGGCTTTGGTTTTGGGGAAAGAAATAAAAATGATGGTATGATTTTGGACCAGTGATTTAAAAAGCGCTAGGCGCTAAAAGGCGCCAAAGTCCAAAAACGCCCGAGGCGCTAGGCGCTCGCCCGAGCGAAGCGAGACACTAAAATATAAAAATATATAATATAATTAATAAATATAATTATTTAAAATTTTAAATTAAAATATGCTATTAAATTAAGAAAATCTATTAACAGTATTGAAAATTAATAATTTTAAATAAACCTAACAATATTAACAGTATACTATATATTGTTAACAGAAGGAGAAGAAGGAAGTGTAAGGGGGTGCTGAGCTTGCTGACCGAGAAAAGAGGAAGCGGCAGCGGAGTGTAAGGAGGCAGTGGCGACAGCGGCAGTGGCGAGCAGCGGGAGGCGCGAGCGGCGACAGCGACAACGTTTGCGAGCAGTGATAGCGGCGAGCAACGACAACAGGAGCAGGAGCGGCGAGCAGCGTGAGGCGCGAGCGGCGAGCAGCGGGAGCGGGAGCAGGCGCGGCGAGCAGCGACAGAGGCAGCGTTTGTGAGCAGCGACAGTGGCGAGCAGCGGCAGTGGGAGGTGCGAGCGGCGACAGAGGTAGCGTTTGCGAGCAGCGACGGCGGCGAGCAACGAGATCGGGATCGGGAGCGGCAGAGGCGAGGGTTAGGGTTGGGTTCTCACTTATATCGATTTTAGTTGGTTCGATTGAACCAACTAACCATTAGAGACCGAACCAGGATCGAACCAGACCTAAAATCCTGGTTCGGTCGCCTTGGTTAACCCAGGCGCTCGCCTGAAGCGCCCAGCGCTTGGGCTCGGGCGAGCACCTAGGTGGCGCCTGTTTGAAGCGCGTCGCCTGGGAGATTAGCGAGGCGCTCGGGCCTCGCCTCGCCTTGCCCGAGCGCCTTTTTAAATCATTGTTTTGGACTTTACAACTTTGTATGATCTTATAATTGTAAATACTTTAAGAAAAGAGATGAACATTTATTTGGTTACTTATAAGAGTGGTCTCAATTGTAATCAAATAGACTTTTTTCTTACTAGAAAGGTAGATAAAGTAAATAAAGTTATTTGTAAGAATTGTAAAGTTATACCCGGCAAAAGTTCAACAAATCAACATAGGTTTATAGTATTAGATATTTGCCATAGAAAATGGATAAAGAAAAAATAGTAGAAAAATTTACTAGGACTAGGTGGTGGAATTTTAAAGATAATGTAAAGATCTTTAAGAATAGGATAGAAAGGGAGGGACTTAGAACTTGGATGAAGATAATATTAATATTATTTGGACTACAATGATTAATAAGATTAGGAGCTTAACAAAGGAGATTCTTAGTGAAACTAAAGGTAGAGGTGTACGTTAAATGAAAGTTTGTGTTGGTGCGAGGAAGTTCAAAAAATAATTTTTTACTAGATTGATAAAATTATAAAAATAAGGAGAAATTTAAAAGAGATTCTTAGTGAAACTAAAGGTAGAGGTGTACGTTAAATGAAAGTTTGTGTTGGTGCGAGGAAGTTCAAAAAATAATTTTTTACTAGATTGATAAAATTATAAAAATAAGGAGAAATTTAAAAGATATAAAGAATCTAAAAAAGAGATAGTAAAAGTGGTTAGTACGACAAGAGATGAAGTTTATTATAATTTTTATAATAAATTAGGTACTAAAGATGATGAAAAAGATATATATCGAATTGCTAAAGTTAGGAAAAGAAAGTAAGAATTTAAGTAATATTAGATGCATTAAAGATGAAGATCAAGGAATACTTCTTAATGGTAACGAGATTAAGGAAAGATAAAGAAATTATTTTTATAATTTATTTAATAAATATTTTACATAGGACTTAGATGTAATGATAAATAATAATGGTAGATTTAATAATCATAGATTTGTTTATAAAATTAGAGCTAGTGAAGTAAAAGACGCATTAAAGAAGATGAAAATAGTTAAGAGTGTAGGACCTGATAGTATCCTTATTGAGGAAAAGGTTAGAGGATAAGGGGGTAGCTTGGTTAACTAACTTATTTAACAAAATCATAAGATTCAGATATCTATTAATCAAGAAAGAGTTTTTTAGTACCATTTTACAAGAATAAGAAAAATATATAAAATTATTTAAATTATAAAGGAATTAAAATCATGAGTTATACTATGAAACTTTAGGAAAGAGTTATCGAAAGTAGAATAAAATTTAAAACAAATATCTCTAAAAAGTAATTTAGTTTTATGTCTGGATTTGCAAATGGTTTTTATTGATCTAGAGAAAACATATGATGGGGTTCATAAAGATCTATTATGGCGGGTTTTAGAAAAGAAAAGCGTATTCATTAATTATATTGATGTTATTAAAGATATGCATGATAATATAGCTACCAGTGTTAGAACTATAGGGAGTGTGTTTAGTGAGTTTTATTGTAATATAGGATTATATTAGGGATCCACATTAGGTCCCTACTTTTTTACATTGATAATGGATGAACATATTAATTATTTATATGATAGACCTCCCTGGTGTATGTTATTTGCTGATGATATTATCTTAGTTGATGAGAGCCTAAGTGGAATTAATTATAACTTGAGTTATGGAGAAAATCCTCATAGACTAAAGGATTTAGATTAAGTAGGACTAAAATTAAATTTATAAGATGTAATTTTAGTAATTCTATGAATAGACAGGAGAATATAGTTAAGTTGAATGAACAAAAGTTCCTTTAAGTAAAAATTTTAGGTATTTTGGATCAATTATTTAATAAGATGGCGAGATCGATAAAGATATTATTCATAGAGTAAAAATAAGATGATTAAAATGGCAAGGGACGTAAGGAGTCTTGTGTGATTATCAAATATCTTGAAAATTAAAAGAAAAATTTTATTAGACAATTATGAGACCAATAATACTTTATAAATTTGAGTGTTATGTAGTTAAGAAACAACATATATAAAAAGTTTATGTTACCAAGATGAGAATGCTGAGATGGATGCAGTGAAGTCATTGGACGCCTGGGCGCTCGCTTAGGCGCCTAGGTGAGGCGAGGAGAGACTTAAGCGCTCGCTTATTGGGCTGGGAAGGTGTCTTTACTCAAATGTTGCGCTTGGCCCCATGCGCTGGGCGGGTCAGGCGCTTGCTTGGTTCAACTCAAGTCAGGTTGAACCTATGTTGAAATAAACAATTCTATTTGGTTCGATTGAACCAATTATCTATTAAGCATGAGTCGAACCAAACACAAGACAATTGGTTCGTTTGAACCAGTTATCTATCGCAGAAAGCAAGAAACCACACACAGGAAGAACCCTAACGCAGAAATCCTCTTTCCCACCATGTTCTTATGTGGCAACGAAGTTCCTCCCATAGGTGAACGATGGCAGCAACCTTATTCCCTGGTAATGTTTTTCTTTAGCGATAGCAGCTATGCCTTCCTCTAGCGACAGCAATGACATCTTCCTCCAGCGATAGCAATGACATCTTCCTCTGGCTGTAGTGGCGACTTCTTCCCCTCCCTCCCTTTGCCCTGTTTATCGGTAGCCCTTTTACGTTCATCACAACCCCTCGGCCCTGCCCTCCGCCTCGTCATAGCCACCCCTTCCTCAATCGCTATTCCCTCTTCCCCTCCCTCTTTGTCATTCTATCAAGGACAAATTTGTATAAAGGGTGTTCGATGTAATGGTTGTGTATATCTATGTCTTTCGGTTTTGTTCATGTTTTGCACAATATGTAAAAGGCTTGCAATAGGCTTGACAACCTCATTTGATTGGTTTTTGTAGTCGTTTTAGTCCTGTAAACATAGGTCATGTACACTTATTGCATAGAGGCAAAACTGTCCAAAAATAAGCCATCAAAATAGTTATTTTATGGGTTTTCTAGCTCCGTAGAGTGGTGTGGAGTGTCAACCAGTATGACACCCTAGAGCTACTTGGGTGGCACATGATTGGATGGTCCTTTAGGATATTGTCTAGGGATCGTTTGTTGTCTTATACTACAGCAGTGTCGTGGGGACTTTTGGCTGTGGCGAACCACCTTGGACCCTTTGTCACGTGACCCTTCGGAGTTTGCAAAGCCCATGTTTGTAATTTGTATTGCCTATCAAGTATTTCTTGAAATTTCTACTTATGGGACCCTTAAGGGACCATGAGAGGTTTCGGGGAGGTTGACCCTTTACGGACAGATACGCAAGGGCACCACATGACTTAAGCAAAATCAGTTAAGTCTGTGATAGTTCACCGTTGCCTTCCTCCCTGTTCACCGCGGCTTTCTTCCCCGTTTACCCTACCACTTCATTGTTGTTTGTTAATTTAAACTTAGATCAGCTGCTGCTTTGCTGTTTATCTTGGTTGTTTGTCTATGTTTGTGAGAACAGCAGTTGCTTGTTGTAGTGAACAGTAGTTGCCTTTTGTGCTTAGTGAATCAATAATAAAATGTCGAGTATTATTGCTATCGCTATAGTTTGATGTGTTATTTTAGTTTTAGTTAATTTTTTATTAATCATGATATATAATTTTTAAATTATAATATTCAAGAGCATCTCATTTTACTTGGGCAAGCGCCTCAGTCATTTTGGGACCATGGTGCTTTTTGACGCCTAGCGCTTTTGACACCTATTGCTTTTTACTATATTGGATGGATGTATGGAGTTATTAGAAAAGATAAGAAAAGAAATATTTTTATTTGTGAATAACTAGGTATTGCTTCGATACAGGATAAGATGACAAAATCATTTAAGATGGCATGGCCATGTGTTTAGGAGGCCTCCCAATGCAATAATTAGATGAGGTAAAATGATTAATGTTAGTGGTATGAGTAGGGGTAGAGGAAAACCTAAAAAGATTTTAATATAAACTATATTTATAGATTTAAGTACTCTAAACTTAACTAAATATATGACATTTTACATATCTCAATGGCGACAAACGATTCATGTAATCGACCATAAATAGTTGGATTTTTTATTTTGTTGTTGTTATTATTGTTGTTGTTGTTATGATGAAGCAATCGAGACAGAAAATATTTATATATATGATTTGCAGAAATTGTTCTTTCAAACATACACCACCTAGATTAAGTCTGGGATTAATCCTTATGCTAGTGTTACTTAGAAATTATCGATCATAATATATATCTCCATGATTTAGGATGAAGCGTAATAAGGGTCAGTTTGCATCATCCAAGGCAAATTCTGAGGAAGTGGCATCAGTCACATCAAGTTGGGATCCTGCAAAAAGCAATGATCAAGAAGAGAAAGATCAGCATGCCTTGTGAGTTTCTTGTTTTTAGCTATGATAATTATTTGGCCTGGTTTTTTACTAGTTTTTCATAGCAGAAAACTAGAACAGCACAAAATAACCAGCTATAAGTTTGTTCCTGAGTTGTTTCTTTATCATTCTTCTTTTCTGTCTTTATCTCCTAATTTATGTTGCAATGTATCATCATCAGTTGTTGCAACTAATACTGTCTGAATCATGCAGTTGCCTCAACTGTGGAACCAGTAAAAATTCTACTCCGATGATGCGTCGTGGGCCAGCTGGACCAAAATCTCTTTGCAATGCTTGTGGTCTAACGTGGGCAAACAAGGTTTGTGAAACATCACAAAATGATTGACTTACCCTTGTTATATATGAACACTGATTGTATGATCAGTTAGAATTCTCCTTATACAATCATCTGAATCTTGCATGTTTGGAGATTTTCATTGTTCAGATTAATTACCAATTATTTTCATTGTTAAATTTAAAAAATGAGAAATAAAGTCAAGAACCTGTAGTATCATAAGCATATGGGGGCCTTACGACATTGGGTTCTGTTTTTCATCAACATTCATGGCTTACCCTAATCTCAAGCTTTTGCTGATTAAGAGATAATTTCTGGTCCATTACTTCTATTTAGCAGCTGTTTCTTGAGCAGAACTACAGTTGTACGCAAAACGCAAAACATTGTAACTGAGATACCACAATTATGATACGAAATTGTTTTATGCAAAGTTAAAATGTCTTGTTATATATGCAAAGTTATATATGGGTGAATGTGTTAGTTTGATATGTAGAGGATAAAGATATTCCCAATTCTAGTCTTTAATAGAGAGAGGTCTTCTGTCTAGTTTGAGTAACCTTACCAACATCTTCTGACTGCAGCATTCTTTAAGAAGCCACCTGAAAGTTTCGGCCCCTGGAACCCAAACTATGATCCAGGATGAGCAGGTACAGTCTTCTAACAATGGCTGATAAGTTGATACCAGCGACGACGAGTCATTTAAAGTTTGGCCTAGTGGGGCGTGTGTATTATCAACTTATGCATGATGTAACTCGTGTTTATAGGGTGACAAGGACTCGGTGGTCGCAAGCAACAGCTACATGTTCTCTGCATCAACAGATGGCCATGGTTCTATTAGTTGATGGCTGAAGTAGGTTCAGAAAGGGATCGTCCTCAACAGTTGCATTCGATGCCGAGTCAAGGAGGTGATCAGGGTTGAAAAATCTGATCAACTGATGCCAAAGCTGTTTACTGTAAGGCATATGGTGAAAGATTTGTTTATCTTTATACAGATTTTAGAAGGGAGTCTGCTAAATGAATTAGCTTAGTGTTTAGGTTTCCGATACAGTTAAAAAGAAAGAGCCTACCTCCCACCCAGCTATGTATGGCCATATATACATTTGTAGGGGTTTATGCTGGTTAGCAATAGATCACAGCTGAAGGACTCTTATGAATCGAAGGCCATGCCTGCCCAACAATTTGTTTTCATGCATGAAATGGTGTCAAACTCAAACATAAACATGAATTTGAACTTGAGACCTATTATCTATGTAACAATAGATTAACCAATAGAATGATTCCGAATAGAATAGACTGATCCGTATAGACACAATTCAAGATTATTCATTTGGCTTAACAGAACAAGATATCATCAAATCCAAATCACAATGCTATATAATTGGTATGAGTTTAAGATGCATATGTGGTTTAACAGGACCAAATAAGTTTGGAGCAAAGTTTGAAGGTATGCAAACACACCCAAACTTACATAGATCTCATGGTAGCTGAATCTTGAAATCGCCGGACGTCAGGTCGCAGCTCACCTGTTGCTGGAGTCATCCACCTTCCAGAGTTATACACACTCTCTCCTACCTTCCATCCAGGAACATCTTTCATAATCCTGGCCTCCTCTTCCACTCCTTCACGGGTAGTGTCGAGCTTGTAAACTTGATGTATTAATTTACCTTTCATCTTCTCAGCTTGAAGCATTGGTAGTATGGCTCTGCGAGCAGCATTAAATGCACTGAGTTAGAAAGAACATTTCACACAGAAAAATGCATACACTCTATTGTTTGCAACAATGGATGTAAGAACAGAACTATATTTCACACACACACACACACACACACACACACACACACACACACACACATATATATATATATATATATATATATATATATATAT